GTGATTATTTATGCAGGAACCAATTTGCTTACTAAATGGAACTTTTAGCAATTCATTTAATGCAGCAAAAATTACATTTGGAGCCCAAGGTTTCATTTGGTTGAGTGGTGTAGGAATGAACAGCAAGCTTTCCAATAAATTGCTTTTATTAAAAAAATGAATTAATGGATCAATAGGAGTATGGCTGAGTGATTTATGAATAAATAGATGGATGGATGACTAACGAGAGAGAGAGAGAGAGAGAGAGAGAGAGAGAGAGAGAGAGAGAGAGAGAGAGAGAGAGAGAGAGAGAGAGAGAGAGAGAAAGAAACAGATTGATGTTTAAGTTGAAGAATGTTTATGGTCTTCAACCCAAGTCATAATAATCTTAAGTAGCCTATTATTAATTATTTTGGTATGCTAACAACAACATACAGTAAATGTTTGTTTTGTTTCAAGGCCATTGCATGAAGTATAGTTCAGGTTCCACGTATGCACTGCTTTATACACTGTAAAAAATGCTGGGTTCCACACAGTTTCTTCTTGTTGTCCCAACACAAATCATTCTTTCATTCATTTTCTTTTCGGCTTGGTTACTTTCGCCATAGCAGAATGAACCGCCAACTTATCCAGCATATGTTTTATGCAGAGGATGCCCTTCCTGCTGCAACCCATCACTGGGAAACACCCATACATTCCCATTCACACATAAACTACGGACAATTTAAGTTTATCCAATTTACCTATGGCACATGTTGTTGAACTTGTGGGGGAAACCAGAGCACCAGGAAACCCACACAAACACAGGGAGAACATGCAAACTCCACACAGAAATGCCAACTGGCAAGGCCAAGGCTTGAACCAGTAACCTGCTGCTGTGGGGCAACAGCACTACCCACTGCGCAACCACGTCACCCTAGCACAAATCAATTAGGTTAACTTAATTGTTTTTTAATTTTAAGTGGATTGTAAATAATGAAATTTAAGTTGTCCAAAATACAAAAAAAAAACCCAGAAGGAATTGTGTTCATTCAGCTGATTTTGAATAAGTACTTTGAACAAAGAGAAAACAAATATTTTTTTGTGTATTAGTGCATACATAATGCCATGATATATTTATTTAGAAGCAACATGCATGTTTTAACACAATATGTATATTCATATGTTATTAAAAACATACATTAATTCATATGTGTTCCAGTATTTTTTACCTTATATTAAATCTTTATTCGTCTTTGCAAAGGCCATAGTAACAAGGGTAAAATGTGGATGCCTGATGTCTAATCATTTGTTTAATCTTTGTTGCCCCCTGCTGTCTGTGTCAGTGAAATATATGTTGTTGACGTACACATTACTGCATATATCTTTTGATTTCAGTTCCTTTGGATTTATAGTAGTCAACATTTGAAGTGGATCAAGACTTTTATCAAAGTTGTCCTAAAACTATATATATAAATATAATATATATATATATATATTAGAACTATTAGAACGATCATATTTTATCCATAACCTACAGAAGATTGGTTATGGATAAGATAAGATTATGGATAAGATAAGATTGGTTATGGATTCGCTTTGGATAAAAGCGTCTGCTAAATGACTAAATGTAAAGATTAAAGAGTATTTAACAGTTATTATAAAAAAAAAAAGGAAATGAAAAAACATCAACCTTTCCATTTTTTTCCATTGGATTGAAACCCCTGGGTTGTTTATGTTATATTAATGACACAGCAATAGTGCCATAAATTTAACCAAGGCTTAATTTGTGCCGTGACAACCCCCCTAACCCCACTTTATGGTGTGGTCAGAGTTAAATTTGGTAAATCCTTCATTTTGACTACTAAACTAATAGCACTATGAAACCACAACCCATTTGCTCATGCACAGAGCAAGCTCATACACAACACACACAAAAAAGTCAAATGAATGAGAAGGCATGTGGAAAAACACAGTCTAAATCAAGTCATTTTAGCTTGTCAAAGTCAAATTTATGCATAAAAAATATATTTTCTCAACAGCAAAATTGTGGCTAGTAAAAATGGCGGCTAGTTGGAAATCTACTAGCCACAGTTGCTGGTGATCAAAAAAGTTAATGTCAAGCTTTGAATAAAAGGCATTCATTTTACAGCTGAGAGAGGATGATCTCTGCATCAAAATCTCCTAAACAAATAAATAATGACTATAAAAATGATTCGGTTGTTAGACTGCTGCACTTTTTTGTCTTTTCAATATGCTCATGTTTATGTAGTTCCTATTGGTGTGTGTGCACATTGTATGCAATGTTTGTATGTTTATAACCACCTTCAAGTATAGTGGGTGTTGTGAGTAAATGTTATTTTAGGGGCAGTGGTGGAAAGTGTAATTAAAATAAAATCATACTCAAGAGTAAAAAGTAGCCCTTTTAAAAGTACTCATGGGTAGTATTATGCTGTGAATGGTTGATGTGTTTACATGCAGTGTGTGCATGTGCGTGAAAACCAAAAAGATATGGACGTAGTATCGGTGATGTCACCCATGGGTTTCTGAAGAACGCAAAAGAAGCAGAAGTATGCGTGGCCAACCATCGCCATTTTGTTTGCACGCCATCGCACTGACCGGGGGATACAAAACAAAGGCAAAGAGGGGGGCGTGAATGAAGCTACAGATGCCTGCTAGCATTTTGCTTAGAGAGGCTTATTTTTGGGAGAAATGCTTAATACTTTAGTCCCTATAACTTGTTTGTGTTCAGATAACATGTGCTTGGTTGTACACTTTATTAATAAAGTGTTTAGACTTTTAAAAAACACTGAAATAATAAATTGAATCACTAAACATTGTTCTTATGATGTTTTTCTACAGGAAGAAAGCGCAAATAACTTACAAAAACTTTAAATACAGTCTGTGTTAGTAAATGTAAGGCTATTTATGAAATCCAGGCATAACATTGTATCACAATGCTTCAGATGACTTTTCTAGAGCCTACAGCTAATCAATCTGTCAGATTCTGGAGTGCATTACAACTCTAAAGAAAACTACAAATGATAAATGATCTTAAATAAAACAAATACATTTATAGAGATGGTATACAAGTATATAATTTCACTCACCTGGGAAATGGAGGCCACGTGAATACTTTGTGAGCACAATTAAGTGCACACAGCATGCCATATCATCTGATAATTGTAGGAAATAATTCCAAAAGGCAACTGACTGTGTAAAGCCACAGAAAACAAAACAAAAATACGATGTATATGCCAAGATCAGCGGCTGATCAGCTGGAATTGGCTAAGGTGAAGTGATGGCGACCAGCGAGACCTAGCTGTCACTCAAGTGGCCACACCCTTAATTATGCAGATTTAATATAACATAATATAAACTAAAGGGATGAGCTATAAAATAGTTCACCCCCTCACAGTTGTCATGAAGAGTATTATTAGCTATATGAACCAAAATGGTTCTTTGTACCAGGCAGCAAACACCTTTTTTTTTCTTCTGCAAAGTTAGCCATTGAAACATTGGGCTCTATAGAAATTTGCTCTATTATGAAGCCTGGAATTTTGAAGAATTGCAGTTTCAGTTACTTTCATATTTGCTTCATGAGGGAGTGCGGGAGATTGCCGCTTGGTGAAAACGTAACATTCTGTAGTGCATTTAGTGATTGTTTAAGGTCATTTGAGCATTTCAGTCATTATACATAGACATTATCTTCCCATCAGTGACATGCAGGCTAAACAGTCACAGGAGGATTGTGTGTTAAGATTTTGGACACTTTCCAAACATGTCTTGAATTTATTTTTTATTTTTTTATTTGAGTGGACTGGTATCAAAAAAAAAAAAAAATCAAGTGTCTAGGTTGAAGGAAAATAGTGGAGTAAAAGTATTGATACAACATTAAAAATGTACTGAAGGGAAAGTAAAATTACACATTTTTAAAACTACTAGTAAATTACAATTCCTGATAAATACTCCTCAATTACAATAATTTGAGTATTTGTAATTTGTTAATTTACACCACTGTTTGGGAGTCGAAGGCTAAAAACCTTGGGAACCCCTGTTATAATATATAGTCCTTTACAAAACAAATACATTTAAATTACAAGTTCATTAAATATTTAATGCTTTCCTCATTAATAACAATATGTACAGCAATTATTATAGCAAGTGCATCAAAATAACAAGTGTAAACACTTATATTTGCTTTAACAATGCTTTAAATGGCCGTATTAAGCAATATTGAAAAATACATGCAGAGTTATGAAAAAACTTTTCTGATATATTGTTATTTTTTTATTTTTTTATTTTTTTGAGAGGAAAATATTCTTTAAATTCCGTCAGCTTCACTATACTCAGTAGCTGAGCATCTCTTGATCCTCTAATGTCTCTACTCGAAGCAATAAATCAAAAACTTCTATAGAAATGCCAGAGCCTAAAAACAATAAAATAGTAATCTTCAGACAGATTACCCATAAGACACATCCGTGCCTCAGCTCTAATAAGCAATGAATTCGCTTGGCTTCATGGCCCTGAGGTACATGCTATTAGAGATCATTTTGCCAGCTGGCCTGTAATTTCAACTTTGAGATGAGATTTGCATTTTTAATAAGAGGTAAGAGGCCATGAGAGGTTATGAAATAACTGAGTGATTTAGTAGAATGAGAAAGGGTCCAAGTACAGATCCCTGCGGAACACCAGAGGATTGTTGGTGTGAAGATTAATTGGATGCTTTCTGCGCTACCTGACAGGGTTAGCAATGCTGGAGGAATATAAATGTAAGGGCTCTGCACTTCAGAAACCCATTTCACAAAATAATGGCATTTAATAATTCAAGAATTGTACAAATAAGCAATATCTAAGTAGAATCAAAACGATTTGGAAGTTAGTTGTTATGATATTTTACAGAAGTGACATTAAATTGTTATTTCCTGTAAGTGTCGTGCGTTGTGGTTGAATATGCTAATGCTGGTTAATAGATAGTGATCTCAGTTTTAAAATTAGCAAAACATCATAGGTGGCAGGAAACAGGTTAAACAGGATATAGAGAAGAAGAAAAAAAAAGAACATGACTGAACTTTGCATCTTGGTTCAAACATTTAACAATTGAAAAAAAAATTATTTAACTTCCTTCTACGGGAACTAAGCTAAGATCTGTATCTAATTACAGTACATGAAACCTGTCATGCAGCATTACTTGTATGCTTTAGTAGGAATGTGTTTTTAGTAAAAGGTGTAACCAAGTAAGTATAAAGAACTATGTTCCTCTTCGTGACCAGACCAGCTTCCATCATGAAGACTCTAGTGTGTGCTCTAATTGTTGTGCTCCTCTGCAGTGCCTCAGGTACAGATGAAAATCTATCTATCTATCTATCTATCTATCTATCTATCTATCTATCTATCTATCTATCTATCTATCTATCTATCTACCTATCTACCTATCTATCTATCTATCTATCTATCTATCTATCTATCTATCTATCTATCTATCTATCTATCTATCTACCTATCTACCTACCTATCTATCTATCTATCTATCTATCTATCTATCTGAAAATATCTGTTGATTAACAGTTTCCGTATTTTGTGTTTTCTGTTTATTTATGGTCATGAATTGCATTATGGGATGTCAATATCGGCTCTGCCGATGTTACGAATTCAACTGTACAGTTTAACAAAGTGACTTTTATTGACATTTTAGTAGTTTGAAATAATATAATGTTTAAGAAAAAATATCAAGAGAAATAAATCTGTAAAATAACAGAAGATACTGGCAGCTTATCACAAGGTTTTTGTTGCGTAATATACAACACCAACCCAGACAATAATTTTAAATGAAATGTTTTAATTAATGTTGTGAATTAATCAGATTCTTAAAAATAATAATCATAATAATAATTGAATACAGCCACTTGATTGAGAGCGGACATTGTGGAAAACATCAGCAAGTCAAAGCAAAGTGTATTTTTTAGTGGTAAAACTGAGATTGTTCATGTTTTTATTTCAAGATGTTTATTACAAAAATGTATAAGTATTAATAGAATTAAAATATTTTAAATGCAATAAGTTATAGTATTAATTAAATTATATAATAAATTATATATTAGATTATAATAATAAATTACTAAATTACATTGACAACTTCACAGTTTGGTATATTTACCTCCAGCCCACCACCCTCAATCAAGTTTAGTTTTTGGCCCTTCATAAGAAATGGATTGGGCACCCCAGCTTTACACAAAAAAATGTTGATAAAGTCCTTTTTTCCAACCTGTTAAGGTTAAAATTTGTTAAAAGAAAGATTAAGGTTTCATACTCTAATTCAGAAGCATAAATAATGGGGAAAATAAAAAATATAAAAACATGAAATCACAAAATGCAAAAAAACTGCTAATTTACAGACTTTTCTTTGTCCATCTATCTGTCTGTCTGTCTGTCTGTCTGTCTGTCTGTCAATGTTTTTTAAACCTCAAATAAGCAAATGTGATCTCATTTTTCAAAATGTAGTGTACCAAAATGTTTGAAAAATTTGATGTGAAATATAACAAAGTAAAGTAAGTAATGTGTGTGTAATCTCTCATCAGTGCACTCGCTGACATGCTACACATGTGTGGATGGGGACTGCAAGACCCCCACTGAATGCCCAGCCTCAAGCAATTTCTGCAAGACTGTTTCAACAGGTAAGCGATCAATTCAACAGTGAACAGCAAGAAGTATCAACAAAATTATTACTTTATTATTTTAAAACAAAATTGTTTATTATTATTATTATTATTATTATTATTTATTTTAGGATAATATTTAAAAAGAATTTGTATTTCATTATATTTTCTTTCATTTTATTTGTAGTTAAGCATCTGGTAATTATGTTACCTTTCTACATTTTTAGTTTAATATCTTGTTTTCATTACATTTCTGTTTGTCATTTATTATTTCATTGTAGTCATTTCATGGAAGCTTATTTCTACTACTCTTTTTACTCAAAATTGGGATTTCCATCTTACATTTGCTATATAAAATCTGAAATGTGATGTAAACTCAGAACTGGGGAATATAAATTCAGAACTGAGAGATTTTAATCTTCGTAAACTTTGAATTCCAAGATGTAAACTAAAATTTTGAGATCTCTACTTTTTTGAAATTGTTAGACATAATCTCAGAACTGTTAAATATAGATGTAGATGTATAAATGTAAACTCAGAATTGCAAGAAAAACTCAAAATTGTCAGATATGAACAGAAGTGCAAGATATAAACACAATATTTTAGAGAAACTCTGAATTATCAGATATAAACTTAAAATTGTGATGTACAAACTTCAAATTAGGAGATTATATAATGTAACATATGAGATACAAATACATTATGAGATACAAACTCTGTACTACAAAATGCAAACTTTGATTTGTGAGATATAAAGCCAGAATTGTGAAATACAAAGTAAACGAATTGTGAGATTAAAAACTAAATTGTGGGTCATTAAAATGACACTTCAAGATGTAAACTCAATATTATAAAAAAAGTTATGAAAATTATTTGGCAAATCAAACAAGAATTGCAATTTAAAAGTTTAAAATAATCAATTAGCTGAAATAAAAAATAAAGAATTTTAAATCATTTCCAATAAAAAAAAGTATTTATTTTTTTAAATTGGGTTTTGAGCTATTTTTCTTGTTATATTCTGAACCACAGCTTCTGTGTTCACCCGCACGTGTGAGGAGTTCTGTGTGCCTGGAGTGAACGTCTACTGCTGCACTTCTGATCTGTGTGACTGACCTCTCAACACCACCAGTCCTGTCCTGCCAGTCAGACACTAATGTTCATTATAATAGCATTATAGGGGGGGAAAAGTCACTTATTGGCTTTTTTTCTAATGACCCTTCTCCATCTGACTCAACATGATTTGCTTAACACTTCTTAAAAGGAATGTCTAAAAATTCTGGTTTCTGTTTTATTTCTGTATGATGATTTGGTTTATGAATGAAATAAAATCTGCTCAGTAAAATGCTGTATATGTGTGTGTTTTAGAGTGGAGTGTTGTCAGAGAGATGTAGGTCATTCAGGAGAGATGTTATGATGCCATATGTGCCTGGATTAACTGCTGCTTTTAACAGATGAGAAAACTGGAAGCTAAACATGCACTCCAGGCATTAATGTGGCTTTGATATGCATATCTCCCATGAGATGCAAAAAAATATATGTATATGAATATCAAATGCTGATTAAGGTTGATTTAAAGCATAATTACCAGCTTGTTTGCAAACAAGCTTAACTCTATGAATGTCAATGAGTTGCTCGGTGCATTTTACATAAAGTGTTGTTGATAAAATGTATAAAAATGTTAATTTATAACATGTTTTAGTGAACAATAGTTTGAAGATATACTTTTTAAACTTATATTTAGATAACTTCTAAACTTATTGTTATTCTTATTCTTCATATTATTATTATTATTATTATCATTATTATTATTATTATTATTATTATTATTAACTATTGCATTTTTATATATTTATTATTAATATTATTATTATTATTAACTATTACATTTTTATAAATTTATTATTATTATTATTATTATTATTATTATTATAAATGTATAAAAATGTAATAATAGTTAAATAATAGTAATAATAATAATAGTAATAATAATAAATGTATAAAATGTAATAGTTAATAATAATAATACTAATAAGAAAAAATGAAAAAATATAATAATAATAATAATAATAATAATAATAATAATAATAATACTAATAATAATAATAAACAACAAAAATTATTGTTATTATTATTATTATTATTATTATTCATTCATTTTCTTTTCGGCTTAGTCCCTTTATTAATCTGGGGCCACCACAGCAGAATGAATCGCCAACTTATACAGGCGCATTTTTACACAGCAGATGCCCTTCAAGCCGAAACCCATCTCTGGGAAACATCCAAACACACATTCACATACACACCCATACACTACGGACAATTTAGCCTACCCAATTCACCTGTACCACATGTCTTAGGACATGTGGGGGAAACCGGAGCACCCGGAGGAAACCCGCTCAAATGCGGGGAAAACATGCAAACTCCACACAGAAATGCCAACTGACCCAGCCGAGGCTCGAACCAGCAACCTTCTTGCTGTAAGGCAACAGCACTACCTACTGCGCCACCGTGTCACCCATAGTTTATTATTATTATTATTATCATTATTATTATTATTATTATGTAGTGGTATTTATTTATAGGTGTCTGGCTCTTTATTTAAAATACTATTGCAGTATTCACATTTAATTTTATTTACCTGCCTATTTTTTGCAATATTTGTGATTTCTACTGTCAATTTTTAGTAAAAATTCTATTCATTTTTTTCATTGTAGATGCTCTCAATAACAAACACAACCCAATAAAATACCTTCCGTCCCCATACACAAAAAAATTGGATTGCTTCTAATAATCTTAATTCAAACAAGCAAATGTGGGTCAGCTCTGAATTAATCCTCCCTTCTTTATTTCCATTTCCATGACGGCAGGGTTTGTTATTAAAGAGATTGAGGATTTTCTTCTCCTGAAACTAAGCAGCTGGGAACCTGCGCACCTTCTTTCACACAGCGCCCGGGACAGCAATTTATCTTGTCATGTTCTTTAATGGACAGCAAAAGATTAAGAGCCAGAGGCCTCTGCGTGTTGAATTGACATGACATTTTTGTCAATTTACAAGTTCTAAGAAATGAGCAAGTGAATGAGCTGTCGTTTCTGAGAATCTGAGCTCTTCTGCTGATTAAGAAAAAGAGAGATATCCAAGATTTGTCAAGAAAGTGGAAGAAAAGAAGAGAAACAGGCCAGAGAGCAATGATTGATTGGAGTTTAACTGAACTGAGGTTGGAGAAAATGACCTTGCCATCTTTGACTTGGCTACAGCTGACTTGAACTCCAGTTTGCAACCCATTTACTTCTGCAATTTATGTTACAGTCGAAACTGGATATAGAAAGACATTTGGTGGGGGTTAATTTTATCCACTGTTGGTTAAAACATGGGTGTTACTCTCTTAAAGAGCCCATAAGTATAGTAGAAATCAGATAATGTTGTTATTATTGACACAACTTATAGGTTTAATCCCAGTTATTTTTATACCCTTAATTTATCCCTATCACTTCGGCTATTGAAACAGAGTGTGAATGGGAAACGATGAAAATATTCCCCAGAGTAATGGGACACAACAACTACCAGAACGCGCCAAATGTCTTCGCTAATTGAGATGCAACTATGTTTGTTGCAATAGTTATTGCAGAAGGTGCAAGTGCTGTAACGTTTAACAGGGTTTGCATTGAATTTGGACTGTATTTTGTTCATTTTTAGCTTGAAAGCGTTTGAACCTCTGGGTAAAACTGCTGTGTATTTACACCATAGGTCTCAAACTGATTCCTGGAGGGCCGCAGCTCTGCACATTTTTGCTCCAACACTAATCATACAAAGCTAATCCAACTAATCAAGGTGTTCAAGACTACTAGAGACCATTAAGCAGGTGTGAGCTGGAGGTGGTTGTAGCGGAACTATGCAGAGCTGCGGCCCTCCAGGAATTGAGTTTGAGACCATTGATTTAAACAGTATTAATTGATGTGACCACATGAAAACATGCTGACCGAATGATACATGCTGTGTAAAAAGAAAATTCACTGTTATTGAAAATAGACTACGTTGTGGAACTGTTGTTATGTAGTTACAAAGAACTATAGTCAGAGGTCACAACCATAAAACATGAACGCCATAATGAAATGTAATAAAACAGATGCTTGCTTATAGTAAAAACGCTTATTAATGCCAAGAAATACATTAGTGGGTCTTCTTACTCACCTTTGGAGCCATGATGCTGCTTTATATTCAGGGAAATTTCTCATCCTGCTTTATTTGTATCCATTATATCCAAAAATATCTTTGTGTGGGGCTATCTGGCGCTTTCCTCCCTACCCCTACATCTGCTATCAAAAGAAAATTAAGAGATACTTCATATGAATGTATGAAATGGAAGGGCTAAGGGAAATGGGATTGGGCCTTACTCCAAAGTGACTCTAAAGAAAAGTTTAAATGAATATGTACAGTATGCTGAAGACTTCTCTTGTAATGACTAATTACATAAAACATAAAAAGAACAGCAGTGAGAAAGCAGCCATTAAGAAATCATCTGATAATATCAACTTTCCAATTCACATCAATTGCATGATGTAATAAGTAACATGGACCAAATAAACCTGACCATAGAGCTGACATATGAAACACGGTAGCAAAAAATTTGTAGGACACTCATAGAAAGCCTGACATCGGTTTTGTGGGTCCACACCGATGTGTTTTTACCCCAGAGCTGAACATATTTTTATAACTTCTTGTCAATATAAGTGCTGCGTTTTTTGGAATGCTAGCAGCGTGTTAAGGCGTTGAGTCTTTGGCAGTTTTTAAAAACTCAGACAACGTGAGAAGCGCTTGCAGCTGAGCATTTTTGGGAGATTGCTGGTGTTTTCAGCTGTTTTTTCAGGGCTAAGCATATTTTCTTTTACTTGTTGTCAATGAAAAGTGCTGCATTTTAAAAAGCAGCAATTAATTTAGACGTCAATATCATTTGAGTCCTTATTAATACCGAAATTATCATTGCCAATTCGTAATCATCAATTATTGATAATCATTAATTCGTAATCATTAATTATTTCACATCTCCAAACAATTTGGAAAAAGACATTACACATTTTCCGATCTGACCCTTTCCCAAGTCCTTCATCTTCCATCTGGGCCAATTCAAAATTGTTAAAAGGTGGAACACCAGTATTATGGAAGGAATGGTTAGATAATATTAACATTCTGGAAGATCTTTATAAAGATGACAAATTAATATATTTTGAAAAACTTAAGCATAAATCTAATCTGCCTAATAATTAGTTCTGGAGGAATCTACAGTTGAGACATTTGCACACAAATGTCTTTGGCTCCCCTTCAAATTCTCCCAAGGGTAAAAATATTGATAAAATGGCCCGCAGTATTATAGGTACTGGTCATGAAGCTTCTTAATACTATGCAATACTCATTAGTCAAACGAGTCAAAATATTAGTTCTGTAGTCAAGATAATATGGGAAAAAGATTTGGGATGCACATTTGAAGATAAGAACTGGGGAAAAATTGCTGGGAATTTAAAATGAATGTCTGAAGATGTTAGAATATGCCCAAAATTGTACATAGATTTTGCTGGACTCCTACGAGACTGTTCAGAGCAGGTTTCAAAAACAATCTAGAATGCTGACGATGCCAACAAGAAGCAGGCGATCCATTTAATGTATTACGGCAATGCCCAGAAGTGCAACATTTTTGGAGAGAGCTGCATGAATACCTTGTAAAGATATTGCAGAGCCAGTATGACTTTTACCCAAGCTTATACTGTACATACTTGGTGACCCCTGTCCCTTAAGCCACATGAATAAAGCTAAATCACAGTGGATACAGTCAGAGCTGTATCATGCTAGGCAGAAGGGTGATTGTTAAAAACTGGAAATCTTCTCTTGATTTTCGAATGAATCTCAGGATGAGTTGCAGGTTTTAAATAACTCTCCTACAGTTTACATGGAAGGACTGAAATTTGTTTTGGTAAATGGGGAAAATTTCTAAATTTCTGCGACCCACAATGTTGGCAAACATGTAACAAGACAAAATAATAATTAAGGTTATGATATTAGCAACCCCTTACCCCTTTTTTCCATGTATGTGTTTTAGTTTGGTTTACTTAATATATATGACGTCATTTATTTGTTTTAATTTGTTTTGTATTGTTCAGCTTTTATGTTAATGCTCTTTATTTGATATTCATCTGCATTATTTAAAATAAGAAAAAGCAATAAAGTTCAAATCATAAAAAAAGAATGCTAGCAGCATGTTGAGGCACTGAGTCCTCTACATTTTTTAGAGGCTGGGACAATGTGAGAAGCACTTGCTCTGGTGTTTTCAGCTGCTCAAAAATGGTTTGTTGGAC